AAATGATTATTGCGAATTTTTCTGATCATCTGGCATGCAAGATCATGTCATAATTCGTTACATGCGGTTGCCGTGACTTCCAAATAGCAACTTTACCAATTTATTTCTGATCCCTAAAACAGTCAAAAACTGTGACTGTGCTTATGCTTCAGCATAAGAATGAGCATATAACCCGGCAAAATTGCTCATGCAAACAAAGTTTGGAAGGGATATGAATACATTTGTTCAGTGACCGCTTCTGAGTTGTTTTATACTTCTGTACAAGTGTACATGTGCTGAGGCGTCATAATGCTTGTCCTGTACCGCTGCTGAGTCGTACGTACTATACTTTTCCTGTACCGCTGCTGAGTCGTTATATACTTGTCGTGTACCGCTGCTGAGTCGTTATATACTTGTCCTGTACCGCTGATGAGTCGTCAAATACTTGTCCTGTACCGCTGCTGAGTCGTTATATACTTGTCGTGTACCGCTGCTGAGTCGTTATATGCTTGTCCTGTACCGCTGATGAGTCGTCATATACTTGTCCTGTACCGCTGCTGAGTCGTTATATACTTGACCTGTACCGCTGCTGAGTCGTACTATACTTGTCCTGTACCGCTGCTGAGTCGTACTATACTTGTCCTGTACCGCTCATGAGTCGTCAAATACTTGCCCTGTACCGCTGACAGCTGTGTTGTTCGAAATGAAGATGATAGCCTTTTCCCTTCTCATGAACCTTTATAATGCGTGGCAGTGATCGAGTCGATTATGTCGAACATCTATATAGTGACAAAATAAACTGATTTAGAGCCTCTTGATATGGTTATGCTAGTAAGGTACAACAAATGTGTTCAACATTTAAATGATTTGTCTCATAGTTTCATAACAGACTGCTTCCAATTTATTTTAAAGACAAAGTTCTCAGACTGTATTCTGATTAATTATAATTTGTATTAGGACATGATGCAGGCTAGTACGTTGTTAGGACCGATATTGTTTGCGCAAAGTTTTTTTTTGCTCATAATCAGTGCCATTTTTTTTATTTATATTGTGTTTAATTTGAGTGACTAGTTGTTTTTAGTTTTTCTATGACTAGTCTAAAAAGAAGTGTTTAGTTTTAGAAACTTTCCGTTCCTTGTTCATTATACTCAAGTTGTCTACTGTATGGATCACCCTGCAGGTTCAGCCAGCCTTACTTAAAGTACTTTTACGTGGACCCCAATAAGTTGGTGCAATAGAAGACACTTCCGCAAATCCACTCTCTTCTATCTGGATTCTCAAACTCTGTCAAGAGAAAAATAACAAAGAATAAATAACCAAAAATAAAAAATAAATGAACAAAAGAAAAAGTATGACACTTCTCAAAAGAAAAGTAAACACTTCTCATGAATAAACTAATCTAGCCTTCCAGAATATATCACTATATAAATAATACATCAAAATAATCTCTAAATGTAAAACACAGATAACAAACAAGCAACCAAATTAAAACGCACCTTGACACTGTGGGTTCAAATGCGAAACTGACTAAAGCGGATGGGACCTACAAGTCTAACTTTCGCATTTCTAACCAGAAAACTAAAATAAAAAAAAGACAAAATTATAGCAATGTTCAATCGCACATTTCCCCCCCCCCCTTCCAGTGCAATACCATTGCACTTTGCGAACGAACATTAATCCTAAGAATAATGTACAAAAGACATAATTATTCGAAAAAAAAATATATATATTGATATATGTTTATATACTAAAATCACCTTTATTAAGACCGCGTGTGGCATTAAGACAAAACCAGGGCTAGTAAACTCATTTATAATGTATCACGTACAAGGGAACAATTTTTATTCGTACAAATTCCTAAAATTCATAATAAAATGAAATTCTATAGAAAACGTGGTAAAACACTTCAAACTTTTTTACACAGGAATGCCTTAAATGATAATTCAGGAATACGAGCATATAAACAGGTTTTCACACTAAGAAATAAATCACAAGATATTTCTGCCTTTGGCTGGACGTGTTCGTGTGCGGTATCCAATAATTAATACGAGGCTGCACGCGTGCAACGGACCTTATAACGTACAGGATCAGCGGCATGAGGGAGTTGAACCTGAACTACTGTGGAAGGCTGAAACACCTGGAACTATACTCACTGGAGAGAAGAAGAGAAAGGTATTCGTATTTCATACTGTACACTTGGAAGATGATAAACGGACTGGCTCCCAACTTTGAGAGTGAGACCTCCAGAATAGTGACACGTTATAATGAAAGGAGAAGGAGACGGTGCGAGGTTCCCTCATTTAATAACCGAGCCGCGGCCAGAGTGCAGACTCTTCGTGAGGGATCACTGTCCGTGGTAGGACCGAGGCTCTTTAATGCCTTGCCAAAAGCGCTGAGAGGAGGGGAGTTCACCCTTGCAACATTCAAGAGACGACTGGACAAGTGATTGAGAAAGATCCCGGATTGTCCAGTAATGGGAAACTACCCTCAGCAAGTGACAAGCAACAGCATCTTGCATCAGCTGGCCCAAAATAGGGCAAATAGACGGAACACGTTCAACGTTACATCCGGGACTTGAGGGCCTAGCGACGACTCTGAGACGGAGGACGACGAAGGCGGCGCATCAGCGTGACCGGGGACTAGGAAGTCCTAAACGCTTCATAAGGTCATAAGATATTCCTCGACGGACCCACGTGATCTTGTAACGCGTCTGCTCGTCTCGGGTAAGTCAGGGACGGCTTCCGACGCAATTCTTCCAGCTCAATACACAAGCCAGTGTCGGGCATAAATCGGGGCATGGACACGTTTTCACCAGGCTTGGAAATCCTGAATGACTCGACGCTTTCTTGCATGTACGAAACGTGGTCATTTAACGACCACATAATTTAGTTGCGAACGTCGTGTAAGATACTACCAACATATATGACAGATCAAAACCATCACTTGAATTACAATTTGTGCCACATTTAAATTATCTGTCGCGATAAGTTCACATAGAAGATTTGAGTGCACAGACAAGGATAAGAGATTGAATGCCCGAGATGAAAACTACATTGAGAAGGTGAAATAACTTCCGCAATGGTGATCGTCCGATCGAAGAAAATTTTTCTGACATTTCAACAGAAAAATCTAACATCAGCTCTAACAGTCGAGGACATTTTAATCCAATTTACATTTCATAATTCATCCATATTAGAATCACTGCTGTCAAAACTCAAATTAAGGACAGTAGTTCGCATTTCTACACAATCATCTTCCTTGGGTAATACAACATTTGAATTACTGTCTTCAGTGCACAGAGGGCATGATACATTCATTGATATGTACTGGGTATACATCAATATCGCGATACCTTCTCTCGGCAACGACAGCTCTATACCTTCATCAGATTCATCGGAGTCAATTAAACTTCCATACGCAACACAATATTAAGGGAAATCACCAGAAGATTCATCAGAAGAAGAAATGTCACTATCAATAGAATCATCAGTTCTCAATTCGCGGTACTTGTCGAAATAGGCAAGGAATGAGTGCTATACGGTTTCAACTTTTGGTGGTAGACCTTTATCACGTTGCTCGTGGAATCTGATACCTCTTACGTTACACCATTGCTCTGGACTTTCACAATACTATAGGGACTGTTATATTTATTGTAAATTTTGTTAAATTTCAGGGCAGCTTTCAGACCTATGGTAAATGACTGAAATTTAGTATGAGCTTCTTTCCAAACGTCAACGTTATTTTTGTGACTAGAAAAAGGAATGGATGAATCAATTTGGTATGGCTTACTCAAAATAAAATGGCTAGGAGAGTCATCAATTTGTGAATGCCTTGTGTTGTTGTAAACTATCGTTGCTTTACTCGATTCAAAATCCCATACGTGCATCTTTTCCAATGATGATCTCCTTCAAAAACTCAAAGTTCGGTTTCGCACGCGCGCGCGCGCGCCGCGCTCAACGCAAACGTTTCCTGCTGCTCTAAATCGGGTCGAGTATACATGTGTAATGCTGAATTAATCGAGGACCTCATTCAATTCATTTAATCTAAATGATCACGGAAATATCTACCTACGGTAGATGCCTTCTTATCTCAGAGAAGGGCGGTTACCAGGCACGAACATAAAAAAAGAATTAAACAAACCAAAGTCCCAAACAAATACGAACGAACCAAGCAAGAACGAGCTACAAACAACCTGCACACAAACTAACAACAAACAAAAAAAAGAACAAAAAAAAGCAAGACAAACAAACATCAAGCAAACGCAAACGACCTAGGAAATATAAACAAGCAAGCCAAATAAATGACTCAAACAAACTAGAGAAAGAATAGGAACGCTGACCTCCTCTCTGATGTGGAATCAATGATAGAAATTAAAACCCTGTGGTGAATATGACTCATTTCAAAATCTGATTTCGTAGCTGATGTATACATTCGGTTTTGCTGGATTGAAACTCGGTTCTTGTAAGAGATGGTTCCCGCAGTCAGAGTATCAACCGAGTATAACTTATTAGCCACTTATTTTCACTGGGAAATTGCCTTATATGACTCTCTTATATTCAATCGGCTCTAAATTTTTAAGAAAAATTTCTGCTTCAAATTTCTGGATCAATAATCCTTAATTATAGGTTTCGGAATGAGAATTCCAGCGTGATGGGGAAAACATATTGGAAAATCGAATCTGCTAAATTCTTTTCCAGCATCTTCTCCCCCCTCTTCTTGTCATTTTGAATTGCATGATCAGTGCTCATTTAGTTTTGGTCTTAATCACATGTTTTCCATTCCAAATATCATTCTGCCACCTTTTTGCAGCAGATACAGCAGATATTATGACCAACTGACGGGAATTTGGCTTGAAAGTCTATAATTGTTCTGGGTCCAGAACATATAAAAATTCAAGCACACGAACACTCAATAAAATTTATCTACGCAAGCTTCTCTGCGACTTGAATCTAGGGAAATGCCAATTTTTATTTTGAGCCTACAATTACTCGTAATTTAGGGGTAATAAATGAACCAAAAAGTATTTCCCAACCAAGTTTATTCATAAAGTACCTTTCAAAATGAAAGAAAGTACCCTAAATCGAATCAAAGTTTGCGGAGTTTCCAATAAGGTCATCGTTCTTTCTTTAGTGTCCTTTACCCTTTCCTTTGCCCCCGCCTTTGCCTTTGCCAGGCGCAGGGAAAGGTTTAGGATCAGGATCAGCAATGGCGCCAGCCGCCATCATCATCACCACCAGGGCAATCAGGCTCAGGTTCTGCGAAAACAATTAAAAACATTGGAAACCAAAATTGTGTTTAATACACTCTAATAGATCTCGCTATTGGGTTTTTCTCGAAGCAGTTGATTTATTTTTGACTTTAGAATGTTTCATTTAAAATAAAATTGTATCAGAAGCATGAAGCAATGAAATGAATAATACATTTTAAACTATCCAAATGTTTTCAGTTTTTTATCAGACTTGCGAACGATTGCGTGGTCTTTTTATTGGTATCCTGATTTTATCTCAACATTTATCAACATATGAATCATAAGCAATGCTATAAACTTACAAAGATGGAAGCCATTGTATTGTAGTTACTCGAAGCGGTGTCGTTCGTGTANACTAACGGAATTAGAGTTTAAAGTTGATGCAAAATGGACGTAAAGAGTAATCTCAAAACCAACATAAAAATCCTTTATTAAGGAATGGCGGTATTTCGATCGTTTGAAGATGTTTTCGGTTAGGGATACGTACCCATTACTGATGAATTCTTTTCTCAGTCCCCTGACGCCAACAATGAATTCTAACAGTATGCAGATTTTTGACATTCTGTCATGGATTAGCACAAAAAAAATTAGCCAATCGCGCTTCGAACACGAAGATGAGCTCGTTTTTGCTCAGCTACATGTCCGCATTTCTTTGGATGCATGTTGTTTTTGACCCCCATGACCACTCCAAGGATCTGGAAAGCTCGTTAATTTTTAGACATAACGTTATATACTTTCAAACGTGGCAGATGTTAATCAAAAATGGAAAAGAGTGGTCCCTGCCGTTTCCCATTGGAGCGAATAATATTAACCATGAGTGTCGCAACTTATGATCCAGAAACTATTCAAGAAAAAGTTCCCGCTAAAACAATATTCACTTCAAAAGATTACCACCGTCAATCTTTCAGCTTAAGAAAATTTTTCAAAAGAACCTACAAATGCCAACCTCGTTAGGCTAAGGTTATGGAGTTAAGGTTT